CCCTGCGGGGTGAGAACAGCGGAATATAAAAGCTGTAAATAAATAAATAAATAAATAAATAAATAAATTTATGGATCCCCGGACTTCTAATCCCAGCCAATATGGAAGACTGGTTGTAGTTTCTTGTCGCTGCATGTGAAAAACAAAGCTCTGTGGTCTGGTATAGCAGTTTTGATTGCAGGTGTACTGAGTGATGTGCACCAGTATACACAAGTAACCAAATTTTAAAAAAACAAACCAACATTCAGACATAACAAGATAATGATTAATTAAACCAGATTCATTCAGATTAAGGGCTGATTTACCAAAAGGCAGGAGTGTCCAGTTCACTTAGCAAGAATATCAATCAATCGATCAATGAACACTGCACTAAACCTCATAACTCAATACTCTCCATTTATTTATGTTGTGTCAAAAGCATTGCATAAGTGTAAAACTGATGAAGTAAAAGGAGCACAAGCAGCTAAATAATTTTAGACCAGAAACAGGCAACAGCAACCGCATTATCTGTAGCTTTAAGCAGTTCTTCCTCTGTGCATGAGGCAGGGCATTGTGGGCAAGGATACAGATGTGGATTGTTTGTTCTGCTCCACAGCCATACAAGGTGGAGGATTCTTCTAGGTAGTGCCATTTTGTCAGGTTGTCTTTTGATCTGCCAACGTCTCTTCTTGAGTCTGTTTAGGGGCTTCCAAGTTGCCCATTTTTGGTTTACCCCTGGGGGACGACAATCCAGTTGGAATTACTTGATTTTGCTGCCCACAAGGATATTCTTGCTGTTGCTGGAGGAACATTTAGAGGACTGGTGGTTCTCATGAAGTCTATTGGGAGGAGGGCGATAGCCATACTTACTCTCCATGTTCACCACGTTGTCAAACACATACGGCACAGCACAGGCAGATTCTACCATGCTACGAAGCTTCTTCAATTGACCTTCTTTGCAGGCCTAGGTGTGACATCGTTCTTGGTGATGTTTTCCATTTCCCTATTTTTTTTTAACCGTTTTTACTTTTCCTGACATTTAATCCCTTTGGCTGTCATGTTCTGATGTCAGTGGTTGCTATGTCCAACAGGATAACATCTTGCGCATCTATAAATAAAATTTCCTGGGTCACCATGGCAGCCAAGGTGGACTAATAAAGCTGGAAATAATGAAAAGTAATAGTAGTAGGGGATGTCAAAATGGAGTTAAAAAACAAAACAAACAGCTGCTGGGTAAACAAAAGGAGACCAGGATCTGTGCTTGAAATACTAGATGGCTTCTCTGCTGGTTTTGCTAACCCTAGCATATTGGAGGAGTCTTTTGTTAATATAGCTGATAATTGCATGCATCTCCCACCCTTTGCTATAATTTATATTGAATGAAAGCATTACTGAAAGACTTTATTACTTTAGGACAGTAGTTCTCAACCTGTCGTGTTTTGGCCTACAACTTCCAGAAATCCTAACCACTTTACCAGCTGTTGGGATTTCTGGGAGTTGAAGGCCAAAACATCTGATGACCCACAGGTTGAGGACTACTCCTCTAGGAGATGACCAGAGTTTGAAGACCTGCTCAGTTAAGAAAACCCACTGGATGAGCTTGGGTGGGCAAGTCCATCTCTGAGCCCAATTCAAAGTGCTGGTTCTGACCTATGAAGCTCTATACGGTTCTGGCCCAGCTTACTTGTCCAAACGCATCCACCCCTACGTCCCACCTCGAAACCTATGATCATCTGAGGAGGCCCTGCTCTTGCTCCTGTCAACAGCACAAGCTTGGCGGGGATGAGAGACAGGGCCTTCTTGGCGGTGGCTCCCCGCCTATGGAACACACTGAAGTTAGATGAGCTACCTCCCTCCTGTCTTTTTGAAAGAAATTAAAGACATGGTTTTTGGACCAGGCTTTTGAACAATAGATGCAAGCAGCACCTTAAAGGGATGTGACTGGAACGACAATATGGCTGACAAGACTGTTTTACTGTTTTTAATGATGGCTTATGTATTGTTTAATTATGTCTTATGTTCATTTGTGGTTTTATTACTGAAATTGTTATGTCGTGGCCTTATAACGGGGCCCATTGTAAGCCGTCCTGAGTCCCCCTTCGGGGGTGGAGAAGTGATTGGATAGAAATATGGGAAATCAATAATATTTTCTCAGCGTTAGAGGAAAGCAATGGCAAAACCTTTCTGCATAAACATAAATAGGAGATGATTGCTTTAGCTCTGGCATCAGTCCCACCAACACAGAAGGCTGCTTCTGAAGGTACAACAAAAGCAGATAATTGTTAAAGATTCACCATATATTTACTTTTCATAGAATCATAGAATCAAAGAGTTGGAAGAGACCTCATGGGCCATCCAGTCCAACCCCATTCTGCCAAGAAGCAGGAATATTGCATTCAAATCACCCCTGACAGATGGCCATCCAGCCTCTGTTAAAAGCTCCCAAAGAAGGAGCCTCCACCACACTCCGGGGCAGAGAGTTCCACTGCTGAACGGCTCTCACAGTCAGGAAGTTCTTCCTCATGTTCAGATGGAATCTCCTTTCTTGTAGTTTGAAGCTATTGTTTCGCGTCCTAGTCTCCAGGGAAGCAGAAAACAAGCTTGCTCCCTCCTCCCTGTGGCTTCCTCTCACATATTTATACATGGCTATCATATCTCCTCTCAGCCTTCTCTTCTTCAGGCTAAACATGCCCAGCTCCTTAAGCCGCTCCTCATAGGGCTTGTTCTCCAGACCCTTGATCATTTTAGTCGTCCTCCTCTGGACACATTCCAGCTTGTCAATATCTCTCTTGAATTGTGGTGCCCAGAATTGGACACAATATTCCAGGTGTGGTCTAACCAAAGTGGAATAGAGGGGTAGCATTACTTCCCTAGATCTAGACACTATGCTCCTATTGATGCAGGCCAAAATCCCATTGGCTTTTTTTGCCGCCACATCAAATTGTTGGTTCATGTTTAACTTGTTGTCCACGAGGACTCCAAGATCTTTTTCACACGTACTGTTCTCGAGCGAGGCGTCCCCCATTTTGTATCTTTGCATTTTGTTTTTCCTGCCAAAGTGGAGTATCTTGCATATATGCTGTTTTCCTCTATAGTGCTTCAGGTGCCTCTTTTTATTTTGCAGATACATGGTAGAAACTTCTCTTTATCCTAGCCACCTTTGAACATTTCCATACCTTGCAATCAGTGGATGGATTATACAAATGTTCTATGAACATAAGAAATGTAAATGTGTATGTGCAAGTGTATACGTGTCTTCATGTTGCCTGTTGAGACATGAATTTCGTAGTGTGTTCTTAGGCAAAGAATACTCATAGATAGTTTTTCCTGCTCCTTCATCTGAAATATAGCCTACAGGACCTGGTTGAGTATATATGCTGTTTCATAATTCAGATTCCTAGAAAGCAATATTGAGGAAATGTAATATAGTGTGGCAAAGTACTAACTGTTATTGCCTAACATTGGCAAATGTCATGGCAATATCCTGTTCCCTCCATACTTTTTTGTGTTTAATTAGCAACTGTAAGGAAGAGCAGTCAGATCGCATTTTATCTCGGTTTCTCAATAATCTTCCCCAGTGTACTAACAATATTTGGAATGATCACCAGATAAAAAGACTTAGAAAGTGTGTATGGTAAAGTTTAGTGCCTCTGGTGACATTAGAAATTCCTTACTGTGCTGTAAGAGCAGCATCTTCATCACATACCTCTTTTTGTGCTGTTTTGCACTTCCATATTTCAAAAATTATATACAGATTGAGTATCCCTTAAACAAAATGCATGGCACCAGAAATATTTAGGGTTGTTTTCCAGATTTTGTAATACCTGTATTTGCACATATGTGCATCATAGAATCATTGAGAGGGAAGAGACCACATTTACCATCCCATCCAACCCCATTCTGCCAAGAAGCAGGAAAATCACCATCAAAGCACCCCCGACAGATGTCCATCCAGCCTTAGTTTAAAAGCCTCCTAAGAAGGAGCCTCCACCACAATTTGGGGCAGAGTTCCACTGCAGAACAGCTCTCACAGTTAGGAAGTTCTACCTAATGTTCAGGTAGAATCTCCTTTCCTGTAGCTTGAAGCCATTGTTCTGTGTCCTAGTCTCCAGGGCAGCAGAAAACAAGCTTGCTCCCTCCTTTTGATGACTTCTCCTCACATGTATATACATGACCATTGTCTTGTCTCCTCTCAGCCTTCTCTTCTGCAGGCTAAACATGCCCAGCTCTTTAAGCCACTCCTAAATAGGGCTTGTTCTCCAGACCCCGGATCCTTTGAGTCACCCTTTTCCTCTGGGCACAGTATTCCAGCTTAGAGTCAACCTCTCTCTTCCATTGCGGTGCCCAGAATTGGACACAGTGTGATTTCAGCTGTGATGTGACCAAAGAATGACTTCCCTGGATCTAGACATGAGGAATGAGACCCAAGTCCAAGCATGAAATTCCTTTATGTTTCACACACACCTTTAACAGACGTAGCCAAAAAGTAATTTGATACAATATTTTAAAATATTTTTGTGCATGATACAAAGTTTGTGGTTATTGAACCACCAGAAAGCCACTCATTTGGAAAGCTTTGGAATTCTGAATAAGGAATTCTTTAATTGTGTCTGTATAAGTCAGGCATGGGCAAACTTTGGCCTACTGGCTGTTAGGAATTGTGGGAGTTAAAGTCCAAAACACCTGGAGGGAAGGCCAAAGTTTGCCCATGCATGGTATAAATCAACCTCTTAGTTTATCAAGATTCATCTTAATTGTTGGTGCATTTTTAGGCAGTTTAATTTTCTTTCTTTAGAGAATAAATGTATTTAATTGCACATTGAGGCCTTCCTTTTCTCTATTACAAAGCGACGGGGCGCACCTGCAAGGAGTGAATACAGCGACACAGGAGTGACCATACAAAATATGCAAGCGAGCCCTGTTGCTTTGATGGCCTGACTTGCTGGAGCTTGGTCTCCGGATAATCCTCCGATGTCAGATTTCCGTAAGGCCAACATGTGACACGCAGCTTTGCCTTGCGATGAAGAAGTGTGCTTTGCTGGTATTAAGGGGCTGGTTGGAAGCCTCGGCTGCTTCTTTCAGGATGTTTGCACGCACTCTCCGTCTCTGGCGCATCACCTTCTGTAGATCTTTCTCTCGACAGCCGCCTTGCTGGAGGTCTTTGACGTGAATGCTACTTAACGGGCTCTTGCCTACGAGCAGCTCCGTGCTTCTCTTTCCTCTGTGCTTTGTCTTTAATTAAAAAGGAAAGAAAAGGAAAAAAAAAAGAGAGGAGGGGGTAGTGTTGCCACTAGCTTTGACTCCTTCCCTCCTGCCTCTTCCACCTGTCTCTGAAGCGCAATGTCCTCCCATGGTTAGGAGCTGAGCACCGTCCAGCCGATTGAGCACCACGGAAAGAAGGAAAGGGAGAGAAGGACACACAAAAAAGAAGGCTGTATGAAGAAGCAGCAGCAAGCCTGGACTGAAAAGCAACTCTGTTCTCTTGTAACATGAACAATAGCCTGCAAGTTAACCTGCCCAGGAGCTGGGCCAATTCGAGCAGCTCCCTCCAGGAAAAGTCTGAACACTCTTTCTTTCTTTTCTACTACTACAGGATGGAGGATGAGGCAGTTTTGGATCGAGGGGCCTCTTTCCTGAAGCACGTCTGTGATGATGAGGAGGTGGAAGGTAAGGAATTGCTTGGGGAGCTTGGCTCTACGTGTATGTTTTGTTTGTTTCTTTGGACCAAAATGGACCAAACTCTCTTTTCATGGTCAAAACTCCTCACCAAGAGTTCAAGGCTAAACCTCTCACACATGCAAAATGGCAGCAGCACAATAGTGATGACAACTGGGTATGTGCCTTTTAAAGAAAACAGAGTTGTAAAATGTCTGTTTGTATTTGCTCTTTCTCTGTTTCCAAGTATATGCACCTCTTCTCAGTAGTTGGGCACTGGTTTTACTTGGCGTATGCAGAATATTCAGCAGTGCCTACTAAATATCGCAGCTGTGTGTGTGGATAATAATGTGCCCGGCAACACACTCAAAGAACCTGACACTAAATGAGGCCAGCAGGGCTGGCTTTGAGAGGAGGCCACCGAGGGCCAGAGGGGGTGGGGCTGGCGGCTCTAAGAGGATCACTTTTTTCCCCCCTGAGGGATTCTTTCAGATCAGGACATGACTTTTTATGATGAGAGGCTTTCTTTCCCCTCCCTCCTTCGGCCTGAGACTTCATTCTGCACAACTGCTACAGCTGCCTTCAAGCATAAATAAAGTTTTCCCTTTCCACCTCACGTCCCCCCAAATAATAATAATAATAATAATAATACTTTATTTATACCCCGCCAGCATCTCCCCAAGGGACTCGGAGTGGCTTACATGAGGCCAAGCCCAACAACACATCAATAAAACAAGAAAGCAATAAACAAAACAATACAATGGGTTGTCGTAGGTTTTTTTGGGCTATATGGCCATGGTCTAGAGGCATTCTCTCCTGACATTTCGCCTGCATCTATGGCAAGCATCCTCAGAGTTAGTGAGGTCTGTTGGAACTAGGAAAAAGGGTTGATATATCTGTGGAATGACCAGGGTGGGACAAAGGACTCTTGTCTGCTGGAGCTAGATGTGAATGTTTCAACTGACCACCTTGATTAGCATATAATGGCCTGACAGTGCCTGGAGCAAACTTTTGTTAAGAGGTGATTAGATGTCCTTGTTTGTTTCCTCTCTGTTGTTGTGCTGTTGTAAAACAATACAATGTTGTGCTGTTGTAAAACAATACAATGCAATACAAATTAATATAAGTCACATATAAGCAATAACACACAAGGATTTAAAACATATGATATATGCATGTATGCCATCTAGTCTGGGGGTAGAACCAAAACCTGGAAAGTTACTTATAAAAAGTAATTCATCCCCACCGCACATTACATTGTATGTTTGTGCCTTAAAGTCACCTGCCGATTTATGGCGACCCCCATGGATTTATTTATTTATTTACATCATTTTTATCCTGCCCATTTCAGCCCGAAGGCGACTCAGAGTGGCATACAACCGGCAACAATTAGATGTCATATATAAAGGACCCTTCGTGAGGGCAGGGGCAAAATAATCCCAACCGCTCTCTGGACCTTTCTTCAGCTAATAAAGGAATTCAAAATCCCCACTTCGAGTCTAATATGGTCTGAGGAGAGGTGTCACGCTGACCAAACCAAATATCTTCGCTGCCACCAGATTAAATAAATCACAAACCCTCTTAGTTGCTATTAAGGGTATCAGGTTGTTTTAAAATAATCAAAAGGCTTTTTTACTCCACCATTCAGTATACGAACAAGGGCTTCCTAAAGGGGAAAACAGGAGAGGCTGTTTGCATTAGGAAAGGGACTCAAAACCAAAATAATGGTGCTTGAGACAGGCTTTTGTTTTAAAAAGAATAAGAAAGAGTTTATTGTTTACAAGTTATCTTTAACAAGCAGAATGCTGGTACAGAAGCTTGAATGGTTACAGAGAAAGTGTTCCTGTTGCTTGAATCGTAATGGTTTCGTGAGAGAAATGGTCTATCTTTGTTACAGTTACTCAAAATATGAACACCCAGCTATTCTATATTCTTCAGAAATAGCTGACACCAGTCTGTCACAGCTAACAGTACTGTACAGACCCTAGGCAATCTGCCTATATTACACAGAGACTTCTAACAACTGCAATTCTATTCTCTATTCTCTTCCTCAGAACTAAGCTGCATTACTCACTAACAGAACTGAACTCTCTAACTCCCTGAGCTGAACTAAACTAAAGTTATCTCTTCTCTCCTTTTCCCTCCAAGACTATCTCCGCCCCTAACCTTTAAACCAATCCCTGCTGTTGCTGGGCTGGCCCAGGCTTCAGCCACTCCCCCTACTGGCTTGGAGTTTTTCCCTGCTCCAAAATGGCTCCAACAACTTACTGCCAGGCCTTTCCTAACTGAAACCACCCAGCCTGCTTTCTGGGCCCTGCCAAGATAGCCAAGTAGGTAAGGGATCTTTACATTCCCTCCCCACTTCGAGATGGTTTGCGGAGAGAAAAGGTTTGCAAACCTTTTCGGAAGCAAAGCCTAACATTGTACTAGCCCAACTAACCCCCTTTCTAGCTAATCCTAGCTAACCTATCTATCTATGTACCCTTGCAATAACCAAACTAATGCAATAAACATCGATGCAATAAATACATTTGCAATTAATATATCATGCAAGCAATACATTACAAATACACAATAAATACAATCCTGTAAGGGAAAAAAAAACATGTCAAATATACCATAACATTGCATATATTCAATTCAACACAGTCAAGACTATACCTTTTTCATGGAATGCCTCCTGACATTCTATACACATATAATCTCTATACTCTCACCTATATATATATTAAGCTTTTAATATCATCAATATTTCATTATCAACACTAATCCTATACTAATGAACAAGTCCAAATACTTTGGAGAGACCCAAGTCTCTATATCCAAACACAAATCATTTCATTAATAAGAGTCTTTCCCAAACATCTCCATATTACATCTAACTACATTTTGTCTATTAACAAAACCTATACATCTAACACACTTTACAAGAATATATCTACACATCATACCTACTGTATGAAACATGTACATTTCACCCTTATAATCACACTATACACTTTACAAGACTGCAATTGACCAGATTAACCAATTATTAAACAATACACTTGCTGTAATAACACCTTCATTTAGAAATGTGTCATTTGGTCTGGCCCTTGGGGAAAATAAAATTGTTGGTGTCTTTTTTCCTTCACCCAATTCCAATTCTCCTCCCTCTATTATTCAGTCCTACATCACAGCCGGCCAGTCCATCCTTTTCAGTATTACCCTCGCTTGCAGTCTTTGACCCTATCACACAAGGTTCCTCCCAAGAAACCTCCAGTTTCTTCTTGGACCTGGGTTTCAAAACCAGGACCTTGTCTCCTACATCAAAGCAACGATGTCTCGCGTGTAGATCCGCCTGCTCCTTCTGCTTCAGCTGGGCCGTTGTCAAACTCTCAGCTGCACAGTCTCTCATGGTGTTCAAATGTTCTCTCAAGTCCTCGATGTAGCTGTTGATGTCACTGTCCGGAATGTCCTCTGCTCCTGCCCAAGCTTCCTTCAAGATGTCCATGGGTCCTCTCGGTGTTCTACCATATAGCAGTTCAAATGGGCTGAACTTGGTGCTGGCTTGTGGAACCTCCCGATAAGCAAACAAGAAGTGTTGTAGTTTCTTGTCCCAATCATTAGGGTTCTTGTGGACGTACGCCTTCAGCATGTGGTTGAGGGTACCGTTGAATCTTTCCGTCAAGCCGTTGGTTTGAGGATGGTATGGTGTGGAAGTAAGATGCTTGATCTTGCAGGTCCGGAACAGCTCCTGCATCATCTGGGACATGAAGGTGGCTCCAAGATCTGTGATGATAGATCTGGGGAAGCCCACGCGTGCGAATAGATTGAGCAGCGCGTCTGCCACTGTTTTGGCATCCGTTTCTTTCAGTGGAATTGCCTCTGGATAACGTGTGGCAAAGTCCACGGCAGTCAAAATAAATCTATGTCCATCCAGCGTCTTGTGGGACATAGGGCCGATGATGTCTACTCCGACCTTGTCAAAGGGAACGGTGACAACTGGAATGGATTGCAACAGTCCTTTTGTCCTGTCCCTGGCCTTTCCCACCATTTGACAAGTCTCACAGGATTTGCAATAGGCTGTCACATCACCTCCCATTCCTGGCCAAAAGAATCTTGACTGGATGCGATCTCTAGTTTTCTTGATCCCTAAATGTCCACTGAATGTGGCATCATGGGCTAGCCTGAGTATTTTAGCCCTATACTTTTGTGGAACTACCAGTTGCGTTTTCTCCTCGAAGAATCCGGGACCTTTCTGTCTCCTCACAACTCGGTACAGTCTACTTTCCACAACCTTCAACAACACTGGATTCTCAATTGTGGGAGTGTGGTGTTCAGGATCCACTTCATCCCATAAGGGTTTTAGGCTCTCGTCACTTCGTTGAGCTGCCTCAAATTGCCTCATATGGTTCTGGCTCAAACTGAAGGGAATTTCCTGGCTGACATTTTCAGTTTGTGAGGTAGATGGCTGTTCCTCTGAAACAGTGTATTCAGCCTCCCTTCTTCGATCAGTTTGGCTTCTGGTGATAATATTAACATTTCTACACCTCTCGGCCAGATCATTTCCCAACAGTACTGGCACTTCTAGATCATTAAACAATCCCATTCTCCATTTTCCAGTGAAGTTCTTATATTCTATTGGGATTTCAGCCACTGACACTTCGAACACAGGGCCATAAATTCCTCTCAGCTTGTATTTTTGGCCTTGAAGTATCTGGTCTGCCTTGACAAACTCTGGCCTAATGAGCGATACTTCAGACCCAGTGTCTCTGAATCCCATTAGTTCTTGACCCTTTACTTTGATCACCCGCAAATAATCTCCATTAGACTCTTTCTCAGTACTCCATACACGCATTATCTTCACAGGCTCTTCCTGTGCATGTGGAGACTGTCTTTCTTCATGTGGAGATATTTGCCTAACCACCTTAACTGGCTTTGGTGGTGTAACTGGCCTTTTCTGGGTGTTTAACTTGGGACAAGCCGTTTTCTTATGACCCTCTTGATGGCAGAAGTAGCAGACAAGTTTT